AAGGAGAATGCGCACGATGAGAACGCGACACGTGAGCAGAATTCTTATTCACCTGATTGTGACATGTGTCTACTACTGATCAGATAATGACACGTGTCAATATATTCTAATATCTCTAAAAAAAAAATAAGTCTCATAATAATTAACAAAAAAGAAAAATAAGTTCCATAACAATTTACAAAAAAAAAATATGGAAATGTCTAAAACGTATCCTTAAAAAATGTCATAACAGAAAAAACACAAATTTCCAAAACATTAAACAAAAACAAGGAAAAATGCCAAAATAAAGATGAGTTTACTTCTCATTGTCAAAAAAGGAAGAGTAACTAAAAGACAAAGAAAAAAAGGCAAACAAAAAATAGAAAAAAGTTCTTAATGTGAGCATAACATGTAATAAAAATTATAACTCTTTAAATCGAAACATATGGCTAATATAGATTAGATGATGACATGTGTTAGTATTTAAAATTAATTGATAAAAAAGTAAACATAAAAAAAAAAGAATACGGAGAAAATAATTAATCAGTTACTAACCAGATAGTAAAAAGTAAAAAAATTTTATAATTCGAACTAATTAGAGAAAAATAAAATATAATAGTCCAAACTAACTATATAAAAACAAAATAATAGTTCAAATTAAATATAAAATTAAATTAAAAAAAAATAAAGAGAGTATAAACTGTAAAAAAAAAGTGGAGAGAAAATAAAAATGTCAACTAAAAAAATATGAATGGTAAAATAAAAGATATTGTACAAATTGAAAAACAAAAAAAAAATAGAAATGATATAGAAATCTCAATTTAGAAATTTAAGAAATGTACAAAAATACCAAAGAAACAAAAAAATTATAAACATATTTATTTTGTCAACATAGTTATAGAATATCACAAAGAAATTGAAAATCTTCTACATATGACGGTATACTTTTCAATGTTAAAAATGATATGTATAAATTGGAAACTTATACAGGTTAAAAAGATTAATAATGTATTTGTTATTAAGATCCAAGAATGTTTAAGGTTTGACGAGTATAGATCTCTATTAGAAAAAACTCTATGATATCAATGATATACATTTATCAATCGTGAATTTATATGTGATGCTTGATAAAACTATTTATAAATTATTATATAGATTTTAATGAAATTATTCACATAATTTTTTTATTTAATTCTATAATATTTGAATTGTTTTTATAATTTATCACATAATTAATATATATTCATTATGATAAACATATTTTCACTTATTTTTATATACATGGATCTGAATGATATGAATTACGATATGAGAATTAAGATATAAATTAATCTCTAATGATTTAAGATCTATGTTTAAATATTATTTCAAAATATGTTTATAATTAAACGGGTTACTAACTAAACATTAAATATTTATACCAATAATTTCTAATGTGTTTATCCGCGTATTAACGCGGATCCTAACCTAGTTAGCAATATTCCGCAAAGTTAAATCCAGTGTGACAAAGAAAGATTTCAAGAAGTTTTTGTTCCTATCTCTTTTGTATTGAATATTTTTTTTATTGGAATCGAAGTCTCTTTGGAGTCGAAATTATTAATCAAGCTCACATCTAGATTTGTTTATTAATCAAGCTCACATCTAGGTGCCAGCATTAGGGCACTTAAAGTTAAAAAAAAAAAATTGTAATTATTAGTTTTGTAAAATTTGGGTTAAATAGGGTTAGATCTATAGGTCATGAATCATACTCCCCTATATCTACATTGTCTTGATAGATCAATAATTATTATTAACCTAATTTGAGTATCCATTGGTATTTTGATTCATAATCAATCCATAGTTGTGATTATTATAATTATAATTGTCCCTTTCTTTGTTTGCCACTTACGAATTCGGAGCGTAATAAAGGAAACTGAAACACCGCATAAAGGCGGCGACTATGACCCAAATGCCAATAATAGCTAGCTACTGTTGTAAGATGTAACTTGTAAG